CTCCCGGGTGTCTCGCTTTGCGAGCGCTCCGGTTGCTGTGGGCACCGGGGGGCGCCGGCCCTGGGCGCGGAGCGTCTTCTCCGTAACTCTGCCCCGTCCCTGGCCCGGCCGCGAAAGCGAAAAATACAGGCCCGGGGAGGGGGGGCCGGGCCCCTCGCACCGCACGGGGGGCAGGAACGTGCTGGAAGTGTCGGGCTGCCTTTGCTGTCAGCGGGCACGGGAAAGCAGGGCTCGATAAAGTACGTTCTTGGCTCGTTAACTACACCAGACCCTCGCTTCTCAAGTTTTTACTCTATAAGAACTTTCCATAAAAGAGGCTGGACTCGGTGTGGGAAGAGGAGTGAGTGGATGTTACAGCAGACAAATGACAAGCACTTTAAAAAGAATAGGCTTATTTTCTCACAACGCAGGAGATGAACGCTGATTACTGGCCTGTGGCTTTACCTGTTAACACAAAATAGTTTGTAACAAATATGTAGAAAGTATTCATATAATAATGGTTGCTACGTAATATTTGTTAGATGCTTTTTGTGTCCATCAATAAGAAGAATCATGAATAAATTTTAAAGGCTTTAGTAACTTGTCTACTGAAATTGTAATTCCTAAGCATTCCGATACATTAATTAAGTGCATTTGGTGATACTGCAGTCAGTCCTGTGAATGTATTCAGTATGCTGGGTGTTCTTATTATGTAATTAACCTTGATGATAAAGGGGGAAGAAAAAGTAAGAAAATGGGAAAAATACCGGGAAAAGGATAATCACTGGCATGTCATTCAGTTTAAGCTCCATTTATTTATAATAATTTAGGCTCTGCTGTTGACTTTATTACTACTGTTACAAACTTCTGACATAGAAGGGTAAATGCGGAACAAGAACTCTTAAAAAGATGCTGTGTATCTCGGGACCACCGGGTACAAATTCACAGTTCTTTATAGATGGCTGAACTAACTGAGAGGATGTAGAGTTGAAAGAAGAAACTGCAAAAGGATGTCCTCAGGGCTGGAGTTAAAACGTGAACAAAAGTTCTTTCTGTCTGAAGGTTAGAAGCAATCTTTAACCCATCTCTCCGCTCTAGTGATGGGTTTTAGCAATAAGCTTTAGCTTATTTTTGCAATTAGGTTTGCACTTATTCGAGTGCAAACTTTTTGATGAAAAAGGTGATAGTGTTTTAGTTGCTGATCCCGTGTTCAACTCCAGCTATGAAGGAATCAAAGAAAACTTAAAAGCAATTGGGATAAAGGGACAGTGATTATAGAAGTATGGAGTTACTATTGATGGAACTACTCTAAGTATGTGTGTTCCTTAAGGATGCTTTTAAAAACCATGGCTGACCTACGTTTTGTTTTCCTAAGGGATTCTGGTAAATACTGCGTGGCTGAGCACACATTCATCAGTGAGTGGTTTAAAATACAGACTTTCTTGCTGCTAAAGTGAATTTTCATCGAACACTACAGAACTTGCATCTCTTACTCTTCTAGTCAGTGTCTGCATTTTAAAACTTGCTGTTTGCTGCTGCCCAGTCCTGGCCTGTTCAGAAAGTGAAGAGTAAATGGGTTTTTAACAGAAATAATTTTTCTGGGTTGTCTGTATGTTTGAGAAAGTAGGCGCTCTTAGGGAGTGATTTGCTGTAACTCACTATTGTAAAATACCATGTTTTTTTGGTGTATAGAAATGACTGTCGCTGTAAAAACACCTGCACTAAGCGCTTAGCTTCAATTAGATGTGACATGGGCAGTGAAGGTCAAACAAATAAAGGAGAGGAAGGAGTGACTGTCGGTCACTCACTGGTGCTGTATGACATGTTCTCACCTCGATTCTAGTTAACTTTTCATGACCTTTTCTTCACCCTTCTTGCATATGTGACATGTTTAAGATAAGCTTTTTAGGAATTACTGCGATGAGGATGGTAGAAGGGTTTAGGAGAATTATTTAGAGAGGAATTCTAAGTGCTGGCTTAGCACAGGTGTTGGGGAGAGGGGAGGAAAAACACATGTTGCCCTGGAATCACAAATGCAAAAGGAGATTGGGAGGTGCATGCAAGGCTGCATTATACAGGCCTGTACAAGCCTGAGATGGTTTTGGAGCCCATACGAGAGGGGAAAACACAGAGTTCATCCTCCTGACTTATCAGGCTGGCATCTAGACCCTTAATTCCTCATATGTGTTCAGATTTTAAATATGTTTTTATCTTGTAGTAAATGTGGTCTCATGATCTAAGCTTTCACTCTTGGTCTGTTTGGAAGTTAAAACCCATAAACAGAAAGGGGGGTTAACAAGTTTGGTCTTATTCTGTGCATGGCAAGTTGGCCATCTGATCTTAAGGAATAAAGAAAGAGGGAATGCTGTTTAAAGCAATGTTATCAACATAACGATCACTGCATAAATGTGTTAGACCAGTGATAGTTGCAAGACCCAGTGTAACTTGCTCTCAAATTTTTTGTGTAATGACCACACTTGCAGTTGCAACCTGTGCTTACCCAAGTAATGGAGGAGGAAGTAGAGCGGTATTTTGCAAATATAGGACGTTGCTTATATATGGGTAACTTTGTTCTGCTCCGTAGGTACTAACAAAAATACTGCTTCTAGGAATATCAAATCCAAAAACAGATGAGCTGCTTCAGTACAACCTTGTAACTATCTGCTGTAGTTGTGGTGGCAACAGATCGCAGGTTTGTAGAGCCCCCTAACTGGCTTAGGTGAAGTGTGGTTCTGTGAAACAGCCAAGCCAATCTAATAGCTCATTAGTGCTCCCCCAGCTTTCCTTGTGCCTGCTTATTGGCCACTTTGTGGAGTCATTTGTCTTGGTAAAGCATGAGAAAATTAACCCGTTAGGAAGAAGTGATTAATTTTGTGGGTGAATTACCTTAATGGAGGAGCTGGCACAAGGAATGTGCCATTTGGATTAGGTTATTTTTTAAGCTGGCTTGTGCATCATCAAATGGTGCCTTAGTAGCAGGAGCTACTTATCTGAAGATCATGTTTGTGCATACCAAGGGAGCACGATCAGGGACCAGACTTGACATGGGTAGTAATTGACAGCAAAATACTGCAATGCAATTGCTCAGTTTTCCCTGAGATTTAAATAACAAAGCATCAAAGGGTATTCATATAATAGTGGCACTAGAGAAGAAATATGAGGTAAAAGTCAAAACTTTACTTCCAGAGTCCTGTCCAAAGGCTTGATATCAAAGACACAATGCTCATTAAAATGTAAGGTGATTGTCTTGGAGTTCCTCTCTCAAGTGTTTTTGGGGAAAAGGGGACTACTTAAGATACTGAATTGCCTTCAGGCCTTTTTTTTTTAAGAGTTTCCTATTCAGCCAGGACAATATATTCATAGAGGAAAGTCTCCTTTAAGAACCAGGACAACCTACTGAATACCTCTGCTCTACTGACAACATCTATAAAAATATACGTATAATATTCTGTATAAGTATTTCTGGATATCTGCTTCATGTTTACATGCAATTATGGTATTTTTGCACTTCTCTTATCAGTTTGGTTATATATTCAACATGCTTGTCTTCTAATGCTCGCAATAAGAAGTTCCTGTATTTTGTGACTGTTCTTCTCCATTTTCTCATATAGTCCATCGATAATCACTGCATACTATCTCATGTCTTATCAATTTTGGAAGTTGATAACCTGTCCTTATAAGATCAGCGGTGGATTCACTGAACTCTTTACCTTTTAGAGCTGACTCAACACAATTACTATATCAATGTTCTGATACCTTCTGCAAACAATTTGTTAGATACTTGGCTAAAGTTTTCTAGAAAGACACCTAAATGAAGTTTGTTAATAATTGATTTTCATGCAAAAGAGGTTTC